AAATTCCTTGCGGATTGATTTGTGCTGGGTTTTTTTCTTGGTTCTGTTTACATTTGGTCTAGCATAGGAAAGCTGGTGCTAGACCATCTGGCCTGAGTGGCTCTGACGGTTGCATGGCTATACACACTCATTAGTGGACATGCATTTTACTTAGAAGTCATAAAATGCAGCAATATCAAGCGCCGGGGACTGATGCACTGCACCACATTAAATGCGGGCCTTGCTTATGCCATGAAAATAGGAAGCAGCTCATGCCGGCTTATAACTGCGTCTGTTGCCATTTACACTCTCTCCCCAGCGACACACACACACAGACACACACACACAAACATATGCAGATGTACAATTATGGCATTGCTGGCATGGCATCAGAACTGGTCACAGATCAAAATCAATTAGCATTACAGAGCCATGGAAATTATAACATATTGCTCACACACAGACGCACACACATACCAGCTAGCTGATTCCCACCAAAATGGGAGAGCAGTGCTAAGACATGCACATCCTCTAATTAATAAAATTAAGTAATGCGGTAATTAAAAGAGAGAAAGCGCACTTTGTCTCGCAAACAGAGGCTGACTGCAGGCCTCTGTTTCTGTCATAATAACCGTATACACCTGTGTGTTTACAAAGAAGCCGTTAACAGACAAAAACGTAATTAAAAAGAATCAGTTGAAAATAAAAATGCCAGCCAGGAAGAAGCTGTTATGCAGAAAGGGCACTGGTTTCGGCATCTGTCACTTTATGACAGTCATGCATGAAATATTTTATAACAAATACAATGCACTGAATAAATAGAACACCTAGTCTGGATTCTTGGAGGGACTGACTGGTAATTTGTTAAGTTTACAGGACAACAGCCCATAGTTGCGTACAGTCAAATCTGAACAGAAAATGAGCACAGTTTTGTTATTGATCAAGTTCATCTTTGGCATGTCTTTACAGTCAAACTCCTGTCTGTAGGAGTGTGAGTAAATTTGAGCGTAAACGTTTAACAACCTGAAAAAATACTTGACTCATAGTTAACTACCAAAAACTTTTATCAATATCATTCATAATACCAATAATAAAAATGCTCATTGTATAAATAAATGCTGCAGCTATTCCATGTTCCATTTAAAGATTAGCTACACTGTGCTTTTGTTTTATACCACTGACACTTAAAAAATGAACAATACACAGCTTGCGCAGAAGCCATCTCATACACTGCAATGGTACAGTGTTTAAATATGTTATTTTAGTAAAATAATTACCTAGAGTCTATTTGATTCTTGATTCTATATCGGATTCTTTCCAGACGTAACAGAGAGAGCAGTACACTCACTGCTCAACTTCAAACACAGCTACTGGCTCATTAGCCAATAAATGCTGTTGTTTTATTGGCTCCTTACAGAAACATATGCATGAACTAATATGTGCTTTATGTAAATTAGGTAGGCTGGTAAGTTCATGAATCAGACAAAGAGTAGTTTGTCCATCATTAAAGGCAGCCAATGTCTTCTGAATGTGAACATGCTAGTGTTATTTGTAGGGCTGCCAAAATAAAGTATTCAAAGATAAAATGCACATTTGCATGTTTAAAGCCTCTGCTGTGGCTCTCAGTACGCTCTAGGCCAATTAGATAGTGACATTATCACACATCGCGACTAGCAAATGGAACATACCATTGCAGACCATAAATAAATGAAACAACAATTTATTTTCACTTTAATTAGGGTATTAATTTGTTTAGGACTAATGCAAGTAACTGACAGCTTTTTCAGCAACTATATCATTCTGAACGAGGCGATATGTTAATTAATAAACTGAAGGCATAAATACATTCTTGTGTGAAGTAACCAAATGATCTGCTACAGGCAGCAGACCTTTTCTGGGATGTCAACACTCCAAATGTAGACGCTCTGTAGCAAGCTAATAATCATGCAATATTTATAAGGTAGCCACTCACGCCGGTTATAGGATTTTCTTTCACTCATTTTGGTGTGATCACACTTTCTGCATAGACACTCATCATTTAATGACAATGGGATATACCTGGCATAGGGATTTTAAGGCTTCACTCTAGAAATTTATTGGAGTCATTCTCAAAGATACAGCTAAATAGGCAGATATACCTTTTTGACAACCATCTCGTGAGTCACAACCCACAAGCTGAGAATCCACGTTTCAACACTGTAGGAAATGTAACACTGACTTAGAAATCTGACATTTACTGCAGTTAAGCACGCTCATCGATCACTTTATTAGGAACACCTGTTCACCCACTCATTCGTGCAATTATGTCATCAGCCAATTGTGTAGCAGCAGTGCCTAAAATCATGCAGCTTCAGGAAATGCTCACATCAACCATCAGAATGGGGGAAATATGTGATCTCAGTCATTTTGACCATGGCATGATTGTTCATGCAGACGGGCTGGTTTGAGTATTTCTATAACTGTTGGTTTCCTGGGATTTTCAGACACAACAGTCTGAGTTTACTATAATAAAGAAACATTTACTAAGTGGCAGTTCAGATGGAAATGCATTGTTGACGAGAGGTCAACAGAGAATGGCCAGACTGGTTCGAGCAGACAGAAAGGCTAGGGTAAAACAGATAACCACTCTGTACATTTGTGTTGAGCAGAAAAGTATCTCAAAATGCACAACACGTCACACCTTGAGGCGGCTGGGATACAACAACAGAAGAAGCCAAGACCAGAAAACTGAGGCTGCAGTGGGCACAGTTTCACCAAAATTGGACTGGAAGACTGGAAAAACACAGCGTGGTCTGATGAATCTCGATTTCTGCTGAGACATATCGATAGTAGGGTCAGAATTTGGCACCAACAGCATAAATCCATGGACCCAACCTGCTGTGTGTCAACAGTCCAGGCTGGTGGAGATGGTGTAGTGGTGTGGGGAATTCCTGGTATACTTTGGGCCCGTTAATACCAGTATATCAGTAATCAATGCCACAGTCTATCTGAGTATTCTTGCTGACCATGTGCCTTCATGGCCATAATTTGTCATCTTCTAATGCCCATGTGTCAAACACAAGGGCCGCAGGCCAAGTCAGACCCCACAATCCTATCTGGCCCACAAAAGTGTTTTAATTAATATTAGCTCCTTTCACAATGCACTGTACTACGGTACCCAGCATGCACTGCAACATAATGTCCGCTCCAACTCTCCTAGCCCGACAACAGTCTATGGGACAGCGGTTACACCTCAATTCTAAACAATTCTGCACAGTTCCACACCAGTCATTTCACCAAACACACTATCTGCATTTCAGCTGTTGTTCAACCAATACACTATATTATATACATTACATATATACATTTATATACAATATACATTTATATACAATATACATTAATGTTTGCTCAGCAGCTCAGAAATTGAGCCCAAGTATTAATGAACTAAGAAAACAAAGAAAAGACGTCTAGTTAAAGCAAATAGGTAGGTATTAAAGACTGAGCTCCTGGGGACATTTTAAATTTGAATATTTCAAGTGTTCATGTAATATTTCAATTACACGTTTTTGGGTATTTTGAATAGACAATGGTCAGCTCAGGTTATAGCAAAAAGAAAAAAACAGGCGTTCTCTGACCCACAGATTTTTGAGATTTGAGATTTTTTAATATGGCCCTAATAGTGGTTGAGTTTGACACCCCTGTTCTAATGGCTACTCCCAGCATAATAATGCACCATGTCAGAAAGCAAAAGTGGACTGGTTTCATGAACATGATAATGAGTTGAGTGCTCTTTAGTGGCCACCTAGTCACCAGTTCTGAATCCAATAGAACACTTTTGGGATGTGGTAGAAAATATACCAGAAAAATCTACAGGAACCACATGATGCAGTCATGCCAACATGGACCATGATCTCAGAGTAATGTTTCCAACATCTTGTGGAATTCATGGCGCGAAGAACTGAGGCTGTTTTGAGAGCAAAGGGAGGTCCTACGCAGTATTAGTAAAGTGTTCCTAATAAAGTGTTTGGTGAGTGTGTCCTGTATTGCCAAATAATGGCATAATTTTTTAAAACTATACTTCAATACTTGCCAAACATTGGTACATTTTTTATTTGATTTTTGACAGCCCTAGTTATTTGTGCTGTAAAGGCAGTCAGTCTGGATGAGATTTGAGTTACTCTACACAGAAATCTTAAAACATTATTTTAAACTTGGGACTCAACCTCTCCTCATAGAAATGCTTAACATACTGTTACAGAGCATGACCATAAACACTTTCACTAATACAAACATGACATCCATCTGCCAGTTTCTCTCTCTCTTCATACATGCAAACTGATCTTGTGCATATTTACCAGCTGCTGTACATGATAATGAGTGTGTGTTTTTGTCACCCAACCCTATCTGACAGAAGGCTACCCTCACACTACCCACAAAACCCTTAGTGCACTTCACAAAGGAAGAGACATTGAGTGCGGTTCTCGGCCACTTCCTTTCTGCCCTGGCTATCGAGCCATGCCAGATGGCAATAAAAGGAACACACAAACACAAATACACAAACATAAACATTTTCCTTTGCAACTGACACTACATAGCACAGGTCTAAAACTCTATGGCAAGATTGTAATGAAACATTGGTATCATTTGCAGGGCAAACTGAAGTGCTATAATGAAAATATTCTGCCCACCAAGACTAAAAAACAGGATAAAGCATGTACACAGGTGGATATGCTATCAAGAAGGTGTCAAAATGACAGATTCCCCCTAAGTGAAACTCAACTAACAGACGAGCCCCCAGAGCAACATTCAACCTTGTCGTTCACACCAAAGCTGTGGCACAAAGGAAAACAGTGAAATTGATGAGTCTCCAGAACAAGCCCTGTACCTGACTGATCCAGGACCACATTCCCGACCCCAAACCCCTTTTTCTTTAACACTCTAAGACCTAACCAACAAGTCCCAGATCAGTGATTCTGCAACAGATCAGCGTGACAGGGCACTACATGTCTACGTTGGACATTAGAGACGTTAATACTCACCAGTTCCACTGATCCATAGTGTTTTCGGCTAAACTCTCCCCTCCTGCACCCCAGGTCTTCTGAGGCAGAACTGAAACACACAAAATGGTTTGTCATTAAATACTTTACGAAGGCTGCATAGCATTGCATATGCTATCCATGCAAATAATCATATTAACATCCGGCTCTAGGCTGTTTGCATACAAAGCTTGGATGAACTCTTGTATCCTATATTTTTACAGACTATGCTGTTTTGCACCTTCAGGGGTGTGTATGTAGTGTGTTCACATTAGTCCACTGAAAGTTGAATTGAAAAACTTGCTGAAATCAAAGCATGGCTCATAATATTAATGTCAATATCAGTCAAGATGTTAATTTTTGAGAGCTCAAGCGCTAACATACTTGGATAACACTAAAAATATGCTGACATTTGATTCTGTAGAAGCTTTTTTATGGCGGACTGTGTATGGCAAAGTGTTTTAAGACAGTATGAGTATGTGCAAGGTCTGAACTTGTGAAAGGGCTATCATTATATTTCCATTAGTGCTTTATACCTTAAATAATTTAATAATTTCTTTTTATAAAAGAAACTCTGTTTATAAAAAGGACTGTATCTGAGCTTGAGGTCATGTTAGAGGTTATATGTGCCATTTAAAGCATATTTTGAGACTGTGTGTGTGTGGATAATGGGTACCCTTGCTTGGCTTTCTCTGAATATCTATGGAAGAACAGGTCAAATACAAAGGCCCTCACCTTTGTGGGTGATCCTCTTCTCACTTACTACTTTTGTCCTCCAAAAAAGAGTGAGAATGAACGTGTGTATATCTAGGTAATTACACTTGGAAACAGACATTGAGGAAAGTGGGCTTCCCAGCTGTCTGTGATTGAAGAACACTGTTATAGGTAAATTACTCATAAATATTAGTCATTCAGATAATTTTTTTTTAAATCACCAGCATGTGATTTTATTACAATAAAATAACTTGATTACCAGCAAATGAACAAGTAGCTGTATTTATGTGTCCATCACGTTCAGCCTAAGAGAATCTGTCTTGTTTTGACTTTTTCCAAGGCTTTTTCATTTTGGCTTTATAATGCCATCTACAATGCAAAATAAGAAAAACAATCTATTTCCACATGATTAAAAATCTGTCAGTGCATCACTTTTCGGTGCACCCCCCCCCCAGTTTTTTAGATGACCCTCACATTTTAGTTGTCTTTGGGATAAGAGCAGACAGCAGTAGTGTGTTAAACCTCAACGTCAATAAAGGGAATTTTTTTTTTATTATTTTGGGGAGTCCCCATGTTGGCCCTAAACTAACCTTAAAACTAACCTCTTCTGCATTACTCTAGATTATCACCTGTAGAGTATCTGTAGACTATAAGAGACTAACCAAATAGAATGCAACCCCAAATTACAAAAGACAATCTAAAGACCTGCTGCTTGCTCTTTATGTAACATTATAATGCAACTATATGAATCATTATGGTGTGATAAGTCAGTATTTTTCCCTGCTGTGATATGAGCTACCACTGCCCAGAGTCTTATGGAAACCACTGACTGCATTTTCTTTGACAAACTAAACACACGGCCAAGTAGCATGCAGAGTAGATTACTTTGCGCACTCCTTCCAGCACAATACAGGTTTGTGCTAGATTGCATATATTCAGTTGCCATATGTAAAAACAGCAGTTGGTAGTTGGTAATACCACTGCCCTCCGCACAGCTGACTGGGGTTTGATTCCCCACCAAGTCAAGGACTCCCAATGCTACAGTCACCTCTGTACCAAGTCAGTTTGGATAAGAGTGTCTGCCAAATGTATAAATGTGCATTATGTAGGCATTTAAATGTAAATGATATTCAAGGATTAGCTACACATAATTATTACATACATCATTAAGGACTCAAAACTTCTACTCCGCTGGGTTGACCGAGCCCTTCTGAGGCTGTATCCTCGGATGCTTCATCTCCCAACCCAAGGGCTGGTTGCTAAGGAAACAGGGTGGAGGCAGCTTGACAGCCTGGACAAAGGTCATCTTGTGGCACCAATTAGGGTCATCGGCCAGAATATCTGTCAACGTGACTATGCCTCTACACATGTCAATATAGCATTCAGAAGATGACGTATCCTAGACCACTCATTTTCTCTGCAGGCACTTATACAAAAGGTGCAACACATTGATTCTCAATTTATGTACTTCTTGAGACACAATTCTCTGGATCAGTATCTGCATTAAAGTATCTTAAAATGGAGCTAAATGTAGTTTGGTTCCACACAACTAAATTTCCTGTAGTTACTGTTGCTTAAGATTATTTTGTATAACACAGCATAGCATATCATTACCAAGGACTTCCCATGATAATCTACAATATCCTCCAGCTGCAGCAAGCTGGACTCTTGCAGGACGATTTGGTCCCGCATTGTTTCTTTAATTTTACCATGCAAAAATGCTACTGCACCCCCTTTTAGGTCACACTGTACAAGATTAACGTAGTGTCTTGACTTACAAAATTACAATTCCGTGTGCTCCAGTGGGGGGCTTCATTTTTGTCCATCACATTGGCAGGTGAAAAGAAGACTGATACCGAGCAAATATGTTATACTGTGCCCCACCAAATTTACATGGGGCATGCACATGCTGTAGGCCTCAGTGGAGCTGCCAAAGAAGTGAAAATGAGTAAAAAGTGTTTGCTGCATACTGCCTTAAACATCAAACACATGTGTAGCATTACTTTTTATACCCTTTTTACATTGTGATATAATTCAACACAAGACAGACAGAAACTTGAAAACTGACTGATCTGGTTGACTAGAGTACCCAGTTGATATACAGTACTGTGCAGAAGTCAGAGACCACCCTTGATTATTTAATATCCAGTCAAAATGTCCATTTACACAAAAGCCTCAACAAGTAAATATAATATACAATTTTTCAGTATTGCAGTATTGCCTTTCCTACAGCTTTCATTATTTTCGGGAGAGTTGCTCTCAGTCTCTCATAGAAATCTGCAGGCAAGTTTTTTCCACACTTTCAAAGTTCAGTCTTAGAATTTGGTTGCATTTTAAGCTTCTCACGATCTCACGCCAGTCAACTGTTCTGAGAACACCAGCAGCTTATTTGGGCGATTTGCACATTTTCTCCTTTTTTTTCCTGTTTCCTTTTCTCACTGACAGCTTCTTCTTCTTCTTGACAGCTACTCATCCTTTCAGAGTGTTGTCTTCTCACAATGGAAAGATGGATAGAAACACCTGAGGATTTTTCAGATCTGAATTTTGACTGGGAATTAAATAAATTGAGGGTGATCTGTTTTTTTTTCACAGTGCTGTAGGTCGGCAAAAATTTGAATGCCAAAACAAAATATGTTGGCTAGTTGTCAGTTTTAATAATAACTGAATATTTGTGGCTACAACACTGTCAGACTTAATTACAAATGAATATACTAGGCTTGCAGTTCTATTCAAGGTTCAGGGAGTGGGTGTGGGGAGGGGTCTCGCTATTGCAATAAACTTCTGACACCTTTGCAAACTGCAAACAGCATTTCAGTAAATGGTGTGATAGTCTTTGGTGAAGGGCTAGATTCTATCTCTGTTTCTTATGATTGCTCCAAGATCTTTGGCTGCACTACCCAGACCATGGGGAAAAAACCCAAACCGATGGGTTCCCACAGGAACCTTGCTTGGCTCCTCCACCAGGTTTCAACGCCCTCCCTCCTAGCACACACACATCCAAAGTCAGGCAGAGGCATGAGCTGCTGAAGATGTCTTTGTGGCTCTGCGTAAAGGCTGAAATACATTATAGTGTGGGGCCACCACCCCAACACCATCTCCTCTGAGAAAGTGCTACTGACCACAAGGGCTGAACATCCGCGTCTCTGTGAATACTTGTGAATTTTGAACGTTTCTCTTTGTGGCATTAACGTGTGAGGATGTTGTTCTCTCTCTGTGCGTGTGTGTGTGTGTGTGTGTGTGTGTGTGTGTGTGTCTGCGCGCGCGCTCTATGGGAAAGTGGTGCATGCAAGTCCATCCTACCGTGAACCGACCATTAAACATGAATAATTCACGCATTTTCCGTGTGTTCCGGCGAAACCATGGTCTCTATTCACAATGACTGGTACACGTTCGTAAATTCAAACGTTACAAGCGCGTTTATCACTTTAAGCTCTATACAGCACAATGAACACGTATATAAATGCATAACAGGTCGCCGGTTGGGGACGTTCAGCAGTGCTCGTTCAGCTTTTTTAGCAAAAAAAATATATCGTAAGTCCTCAGCTGAAGAGACTATGTAGTACTTTTAACCACTACGTAGTATGTATTTAACCCCACTTTGTCAAAAAAACGAAACTGAAGTCAGCTTCTTATTCGAGATTTCCGTTCCACCTTAAAGGGTGCAGTAGTTTCGTGCTGGTGCCCGTTCATGCGCCAGACAGTGCCTGCTGCACCATTTAAGGTGGAACGGACAACAAGCTGGAGAACAGGATGCCAACTTCAGCCTCGTCGCCTGCAGCTTGTTGCTCAGTGAAAACAACAACAAAAATGTGTGACTGAATTTGCTACAGTGACAGAGCAGAGCATTAGCTGGGGGCGAAAGCCCGCAAAAAGACCCTCTAATGTCACGAAAAAAAATGTCTCAGACGTGAGAAAAAAGACAGCAGGGTTTCAGCGCTAGACAGCCGGACTGGACCCCTCACTCACTTGCTCATTCACTCACTCACCGCTGGTTGAAGCTCAGCAGTTTGCTCGCCGCAGTGTCTGCCCCGCTCATGGCCCCCCGAGCGGCGTCAGGATCTCCCCCCGGCTGCTTCGGGCTGTGTCCCTTTCTTCCCTCTCCTCGGTCACTGAAGACCACCGGTAACCATCGTCCCCTCACTTATCACACCCCTCCCTCGTCGCGGTCCGCGTTTCTAGTATGACTTCGTGTGTATGTGACTGACTGAGCTCGCCTGTGTGGAGCCTAACGGTCGCAACGGCCGAGAGAGAGAGAGAGATGAAGAGAGAAAGAGAGAGAGAGAGAGACACGAGCCGAACGCGGCACGAGCGCGCTGGCTTTCCCGCGGATTTCCCTCTCGCTAAGCTCAGTCGGGTTGC